AACAAGATTCAATATAGAATCATATAGGTTGTATATTCAACCATAGGTATTTACATATACATAGGTTATATACATACATAGGTAATATACATATACATAGGTTGATATGTATATTCAATATACGTTGAGCAACAAGATTCAATATAGATATAACAACTACAAAACAATGTGACACATACAGTACCCTGCTGTACTCTCCCACCCCACTACACTACACTGTTCCACATACAGTACCCTGCTGTACTCTCCCTCCCCACTACACTACACTGTACCACATACAGTACCCTGCTGTACTCTCCCTCCCCACTACACTACACTGTACCACATACAGTACCCTGCTGTACTCTCCCTCCCCACTACACAACACTGTACCACATACAGTACCCTGCTGTACTCTCCCTCCCCACTACACTACACTGTACCACATACAGTACCCTGCTGTACTCTCCCTCCCCACTACACTACACTGCACCACATACAATACCCTGCTGTACTCTCCCACCCACTACACTACACTGTACCACATACAGTACCCTGCTGTACTCTCCCACCCCACTACACTACACTGTACCACATACAGTACCCTGCTGTACTCTCCCTCCCCACTACACTACACTGTACCACATACAGTACCCTGCTGTACTCTCCCACCCCACTACACAACACTGTACCACATACAGTACCCTGCTGTACTCTCCCACCCCACTACACAACACTGCACCACATACAGTACCCTGCTGTACTCTCCCTCCCCACTACACAACACTGTACCACATACAGTACCCTGCTGTACTCCCCCTCCCACTACACTACACTGTACCACATACAGTACCCTGCTGTACTCTCCCTCCCCACTACACAACACTGTACCACATACAGTACCCTGCTATACTCTCCCACCCCACTACACAACACTGCACCACATACAGTACCCTGCTGTACTCTCCCTCCCCACTACACTACACTGCACCACATACAGTACCCTGCTGTACTCTCCCTCCCCACTACACTACACTGCACCACATACAGTACCCTGCTGTACTCTCCCACCCCACTACACAACACTGTACCACATACAGTACCCTGCTGTACTCTCCCTCCCCACTACAGTACAGTGTACCACATACAGTACCCTGCTGTACTCTCCCACCCCACTACACAACACTGTACCACATACAGTACCCTGCTGTACTCTCCCTCCCCACTACAGTACAGTGTACCACATACAGTACCCTGCTGTACTCTACCACCCCACTACACAACACTGTACCACATACAGTACCCTGCTGTACTCCCCACCCCACTACAGTACAGTGTACCACATACAGTACCCTGCTGTACTCCCCCTCCCACTACACAACACTGTACCACATGACGTAACACATTGCCTTACGCAACTGTGTGTGTGTCTGTGCAACAAAACACGTCAAGTGGCTTGTTGATCACGCCTCGTGTGTGCCTAGTGGGGCTTGACCGCCGCCCTGCCCGACCTGCTCGGCCAAGCCACCTCTGGTAGACAAGCTTGACAAGGACAGCCTCTTTAAAATGAGAGAAAGTAGGACACGGGGACACAAATGAGGCGAGGAAGAGTAAGGAGTTACGCTCACCCTGCACGGCCGGTCAACACGTGGAATGCTCCGAAAGAAGAAGCTGAGGAAGCCACCTCCACCCACAACTTTAAGACTCGACGCAACAAAGAATTCATATACGTCAGAATAGTCTATAGTTTAATAGCTAGTTAGAATGAATTATAAAAAAAAGAGCCACTGGACCTCGCTTCCCCGTAGTCACTCATAGGTAAGCAAATGCATGTTCCAGTCGAGCTAATTGTTGTGGCATGTGATATGTATGAAGTATATTTATCCATGGAGAATTGTGGAGGCTGAAAATGTGAATTATATCCCCCCTCCCCCCCCCCCCCAGTAAACCCAAGTGTAGGCAGGCGGACACCACAATGCACACACCACACCCTACACGGCGCGATAAAGATCTTGTGTACACACACATTATATATTACACTTCTCTAGGTCCTTGATGAAGCATGATGGCCGCTCTGATTACCTCTCTTGTGTCAACTGATATTAATCTTATTATTAATCTTATTATTAATCTTATTATGACTTCTGCTAATAGGATTTATTGATCGTCTCCCCCCCCCTCCCCCCCACGACGTAAAAATATGAGACCCACCACATGAGGAATTCCCAATAAAACGCCGTTATATAACCGGAGATTAATTTTAATATAAAAATAATATATGTAATATACATATATACAACTGACTAGTAACAAATAATGTGTGACAGCGGTCACGTGACACGACCAACTGGCACGTGACACGACCAACTGGCACTGTTTGGCACCACAGTACATATATATCACGTCTTCTGGTGTGTGGGAGTGTTACTGGGTGTGTGTGGGAGTGTTACTGGGTGTGTGTGGGAGTGTTACTGGGTGTGTGTGGGAGTGTTACTGGGTGTGTGTGGTAGTGTTACTGGGTGTGTGGGAGTGTTACTGGGTGTGTGGTAGTGTTACTGGGTGTGTGTGGGAGTGTTACTGGGTGTGTGGGAGTGTTACTGGGTGTGTGGGAGTGTTACTGGGTGTGTGGGAGTGTTACTGGGTGTGGGGGAGTGTTACTGGGTGTGTGTGGTAGTGTTACTGGGTGTGTGTGGTAGTGTTACTGGGTGTGTGTGGGAGTGTTACTGGGTGTGTGTGGGAGTGTTACTGGGTGTGTGTGGTAGTGTTACTGGGTGTGTGTGGGAGTGTTACTGGGTGTGTGTGGTAGTGTTACTGGGTGTGTGTGGGAGTGTTACTGGGTGTGTGTGGGAGTGTTACTGGGTGTGTGTGGGAGTGTTACTGGGTGTGTGTGGGAGTGTTACTGGGTGTGTGTGGTAGTGTTACTGGGTGTGTGTGGGAGTGTTACTGGGTGTGTGTGGTAGTGTTACTGGGTGTGTGTGGGAGTGTTACTGGGTGTGTGGGAGTGTTACTGGGTGTGTGGGAGTGTTGCTGGGTGTGTGTGGGAGTGTTACTGGGTGTGTGGGAGTGTTACTGGGTGTGTGTGGTAGTGTTACTGGGTGTGTGGGGGAGTGTTACTGGGTGTGTGTGGTAGTGTTACTGGGTGTGTGGGAGTGTTACTGGGTGTGGGGGAGTGTTACTGGGTGTGTGTGGTAGTGTTACTGGGTGTGTGTGGGAGTGTTACTGGGTGTGTGGGGGAGTGTTACTAGGTGTGTGGGAGTATTACTGGGTGTGTGGGAGTGTTACTGGGTGTTTGTGGGAGTGTTACTGGGTGTTTGTGGGAGTGTTACTGGGTGTGTGGGGGAGTGTTACTGGGTGTGTGGGGGAGTGTTACTGGGTGTGTGTGGTAGTGTTACTGGGTGTGTGGTAGTGTTACTGGGTGTGGGGGAGTGTTACTGGGTGTGTGTGGGAGTGTTACTGGGTGTGTGTGTGAGTGTTACTGGGTGTGTGGTAGTGTTACTGGGTGTGTGGTAGTGTTACTGGGTGTGGGAGAGTGTTACTGGGTGTGATTATGATACTACCTGTGGGGGTTACCTGTGGCCGGTTTCGAGTGGCTTTTACCATGGCACTGCCACGGTAGAAGTCTGGTCAGGGAAACTATTTGTGTTAGCAGCCTGCAGTAGGTAGCTGGTCAAGGGTTGATAGTGTGTGTTGAGTGTGTGATTGTGTTACTACTGTGTATATGTTTGTGTATATGGCTTGTGTATGGTTGTATTACGGGGGGGGGGGGTGTATCACTAGGGAGTGAGGGGGTGTATCACTAGGGTGTGAGGGGGTGTATCACAAGGGTGTGAGGGGGTGTATCACTAGGGTGTGAGGGGGTGTATCACAAGGTGGTGAGGGGGTGTATCACTAGGGTGTGAGGGGGTGTATCACTAGGGTGTGAGGGGGTGTATCACTAGGGTGTGAGGGGGTGTATCACTAGGGTGTGAGGGGGTGTATCACTAGGGTGTGAGGGGGTGTGTCACTAGGGTGTGAGGGGGTGTAAATCACTAGGGTGTGAGGGGGTGTATCACTAGGGTGTGAGGGGTGTGTATCACTAGGGTGTGAGGGGTGTGTATCACTAGGGTGTGAGGAGGTGTATCACTAGGGTGTGAGGGGGATGTATCACTAGGGTGTGAGGGGGGTGTATCACTAGGGTGTGAGGGGGGTGTATCACTAGGGTGTTTGGGGTGTATCACTAGGGTGTGAGGGGGTGTATCACTAGGGTGTGAGGAGGGTGTATCACTAGGGTGTGAGGGGGTGAATCACTAGGGTGTAGGGTGTGAGGGGGTGTATCTCTAGGGTGTGAGGGGTGTAAATCACTAGGGGTGTGAGGGGGGGTATAGCACTAGGGTGTGAGGGGGTGTATCACTAGGGTGTGAGGGGGTGTATCATTAGGGTGTGAGGAGGTGTATCACTAGGGTGTGAGGAAATGTATCACTAGGGTGTGAGGGGTGTATCACTAGGGTGTGAGGGTGTAAATCACTAGGGTGTGAGGAGGGTGTATCACTAGGGTGTGAGGGGGGTATATCACTAGGGTGTGAGGGGGGTGTATCACTAGGGTGTGAGGGGTGTATCACTAGGGTGTGAGGGGTGTATCACTAGGGTGTGAGGGTGTAAATCACTAGGGTGTGAGGGGGGTGTGTCACTAGGGTGTGAGGGGGTGTAAATCACTAGGGTGTGAGGGGGTGTGTCACTAGGGTGTGAGGGGGGTGTATCACTAGGGTGAGGGGGTGTATCACTAGCGGTGAGGGGGTGTAAATCACTAGTGTGTGAGGGGGGTGTGTCACTAGGGTGTGAGGGGGTGTAAATCACTAGGGTGTGAGGGGGTGTGTCACTAGGGTGTGAGGGGGTGTAAATCACTAGGGTGTGAGGGGGTGTATCACTAGGGTGTGAGGGGGGTGTATCACTAGGGTGTGAGGGGGTGTATCACTAGGGTGTGAGGGGGTGTGTCACTAGGGTGTGAGGGGGTGTAAATCACTAGGGTGTAAGGGGGTGTATCACTAGGGTGTGAGGGGGGTGTATCACTAGGGTGTGAGGGGGTGTATCACTAGGGTGTGAGGGAGTGTATCACTAGGGTGTGAGGGGGGTGTATCACTAGGCGTGAGGGGGTGTATCACTAGGGTGTGAGGAGGGTGTATCACTAGGGAAAGCGAGTGTATGACTAAGGGGAAGAAGCAGTGTCACCAAGGTTGGGTGATAGCTCTAGGGTGAGGTGGGAGTGACAATGCAGGAAGTATCACTAGATTAAGATAGGCCTACTAGGAAGAGGTGCGGTGTCATAGCATAAAGTGTTAGTCATGAGAGGTGACGTCTACCTATACCAACATTGATTAAGAATTAACAGTGTTTCTGCCCACTTTGTGATTTATTTGTGGCTGTCATTCTAGTTGTTGCTTTCACCAATCTTGCATATGGAATTATTCTCCCTCCAGACACAAGTGGAAAGTCGGGACAATTACATATATAAACTTTGCAGTGTTCTAAACACACTAGAAAACATCTGAAGGGTTCTGCTGGACATTTGTAGTGGGCCAATACTGAATTCCACCACTAGTTCACTTTCACAAGACACGGGGTGTGGACTGGCACTCAAACCTTGCTTGCCCTTACAGGTTCGTGGGTTCCCGAGCAATGGCTCTATTGACACAAGTGTTTTAGTTCGAGTAAAGTGAGTTATTAAACAGTGGGTCCATGTGTGCTCAGGTAACACAGGCACTGCTGTGTGTTACAAACCTCAGACTGGCACAGCCAAAACGTTTGTGCATTGCCGTGTGTGGCAGGCCTGCAGATTTAATTGCAACTCGTATCTGCAGGCACAGCAGACATGGGACGTAATGTGTATATTACTACTTGCGGTCCGAAAATGCAGCAGACACTGAATCTAGTGTGTGTTGCTACGTGGCTGGTCGGAAGGTGGCAGAGGGTGACAGTCGGCACGGACCTTTTGACAGCTGTGGCCCTGTAGAGTATTGAAGGTTAAGAACCCTTCTCGGCAGTCTGCAGGGGTCACCTGTGTGTACACATCATAAGTGTGCTCCGAGGCAGCGTCACACGGATGCTCGTACTGCTCCGATCTGCCCATGTTATCGTACTGAGAAGCAAGAGACGAGGCTTTCCTGGCCCCCTGGAGGTCACTTCCGCTTGCCGTGTCCCCCAGGTCAAGTGGTGGGGGACACGCAGGTGGAGGGGGAAGGAATGCGGCCCAGTTGACCTGCACTCCCGAGTCATCGCTGTGGTGTTGCCAGGGAATGCCGTTGTTCAGATGAGGTGACGGGGGAGCCAGTAACGCCGTTGTGGCATAAGGTTCCGTCGCCTCACTCAGCCCCTGAACCCGTGGCTCCGCATATTCATTCACCAGTTGATGTGGGTGCAGGAGCCGTGTCGATGATAAACTTGAGTCCTTGTCGCTCTCTGAGGGACGCCACAACTTATTCTCGCCATACATATTGACAGAGTTTTGGTCTGGATAGATAGACGGGTCCTGGTAGAGAGCGGGCGCATGTGGGGGGTTAGAGGACGGACCTTTCTTACGCAGGCGCCTCACGTACAACAAGGTGACCACAAACACCAGCAGTACCAGTGGTATTAGCAGATACATCAGCCACGCTGGCTGGGGTGAAGCATACATAATGGAATCACTATTGTCTCCAGCCATATTGACCCTCTGAATGCTGTGGGCATCACTGGGCCCAGCATCGAGCAGGACAGGGTCACTGAAGGGTCCAGGACCCGCGCTCGTGACGGCTGCCACGCGCACAGTGTAGAGGCGGCCAGGCAAGAGGCTGCGGGCCTCCAGCCAGGGGCTTGCCACCGTCTCTGTGGTCTGGCTACCATTGTGGCTTATTGTTACCTGGTAACCCACCAGGTCCCCGCGGGCTTCCTCAGCACTCACACTCGCCCACCTGATGAGTACAGAGCCTTCCTCATGCACCGTCACACGCACCTCCCCAGGGGCAACTGCAGGCACTGTGAAGAAATAGAACAGGAGCTCCGTAAATGTTTCCTGCTGTAAAAAAAAAAAATGGTCATAAAGATGATAGATAATATTGTCTGTGTACAGCAGGTCATATCAAAGAAATATTAAATATTATATATAAATATATATATATATATATATATATATATATATATATATATATATATATATATATATATATATATATATATATATATATATATATATATATATATATATATATATGCGAACAAGCCTGAATGGTCCCCAGGACAATATGCAATATTTTACAATATATTTACAATATTGACAATATATATATATATATATATATATATATATATATATATATATATATATATATATATATATATATATATATATATATATATGTTGTTGAATATGACCGAAAGGGTAAGATTAATGATTCTAACACGAAGCTTCTCCATATTTCTTACGTTTTTCTTCACTGTCGGGGGTAATTGAAAAATTAACACTCCAACACTCCAAAGTTCATTTGCACATTTTTATTTATGGTCTATAAATCAATTAGACCATAAATAAAAATGTGAAAATGAACTTTAGAAAGTTAATTTTTCAATTATGCCCGACAGTGAAGAGAAACGTAAGAAATATTGAGAAGATTAGTGTTAGAATCATAATTCTTACCCTTTCGGTCATATTCAACAACATATGGTTACAAGAGAGACTGCTACCAATATATATATATATATATATATATATATATATATATATATATATATATATATATATATATATATGCAAACAAGCCTGAATGGTCCCCAGGACTATATACAACTGAAAACTCACACCCCAGAAGTGACTCGAACCCATACTCCCACAACTGGTATGTACAGGGACGCCTTAATCCGCTTGACCATCACGACCGGACATTGTATATAGTCCTGGGGACCATTCAGGCTTGTTTGCATTTGTGTTCCTCACGTGTGCCCCAAAGAATGAGGTGATTTGATAAAATGCTATGCCCAAGATTACCATCCGAGTGCCGGCGGGGAAGTGGTTCATATAGCCTCGGCTATCACTTCCTTTTGTCCGGTCGTGATGGTCAAGCGGATTAAGGCGTCCCTGTACATACCAGTTGTGGGAGTATGGGTTCGAGTCACTTCTGGGGTGTGAGTTTTCAGTTGTATATAGTCCTGGGGACCATTCAGGCTTGTTTGCATTTGTGTTCCTCACGTGTGCCCCAAAGAATGAGGTGATTTGATAAAATGCTATGCCCAAGATTACCATCCGAGTGCCGGCGGGGAAGTGGTTCATATAGCCTCGGCTATCACTTCCTTTTGTCCGGTCGTGATGGTCAAGCGGATTAAGGCGTCCCTGTACATACCAGTTGTGGGAGTATGGGTTCGAGTCACTTCTGGGGTGTGAGTTTTCAGTTGTATATAGTCCTGGGGACCATTCAGGCTTGTTTGCATTTGTGTTCCTCACGTGTGCCCCAAAGAATGAGGTGATTTGATAAAATGCTATGCCCAAGATTACCATCCGAGTGCCGGCGGGGAAGTGGTTCATATAGCCTCGGCTATCACTTCCTTTTGTCCGGTCGTGATGGTCAAGCGGATTAAGGCGTCCCTGTACATACCAGTTGTGGGAGTATGGGTTCGAGTCACTTCTGGGGTGTGAGTTTTCAGTTGTATATAGTCCTGGGGACCATTCAGGCTTGTTTGCATTTGTGTTCCTCACGTGTGCCCCAAAGAATGAGGTGATTTGATAAAATGCTATGCCCAAGATTACCATCCGAGTGCCGGCGGGGAAGTGGTTCATATAGCCTCGGCTATCACTTCCTTTTGTCCGGTCGTGATGGTCAAGCGGATTAAGGCGTCCCTGTACATACCAGTTGTGGGAGTATGGGTTCGAGTCACTTCTGGGGTGTGAGTTTTCAGTTGTATATAGTCCTGGGGACCATTCAGGCTTGTTTGCATTTGTGTTCCTCACGTGTGCCCCAAAGAATGAGGTGATTTGATAAAATGCTATGCCCAAGATTACCATCTGAGTGCCGGCGGGGAAGTGGTTCATATAGCCTCGGCTATCACTTCCTTTTGTCCGGTCGTGATGGTCAAGCGGATTAAGGCGTCCCTGTACATACCAGTTGTGGGAGTATGGGTTCGAGTCACTTCTGGGGTGTGAGTTTTCAGTTATATATATATATATATATATATATATATATATATATATATATATATATATATATATATGTGTGTGTGTGTGTGTGTGTGTAGATATATATGTATCCTGACGTCATACTGAAAGAAAAAGCGAAAATACTGGATGGGGACAAGCTATAGCATATACGTGATACATTACAACTTTGCAAAGCAACTTACCATCCTCAGGTGTAGTGAGTGAGTGAGAGTTGGAGGGTGTGCCCTCAACACTGCGCCAGAAGGGGACGATGAAGAAGGTGTAGGGGGTGTTGGGACGCAGGTCGTGCACCAGGTGGGAGGAAGAGGACGCACCCAGGACGGTAGCCACCTGCACGGTGCCCACCTGGGCGAGCGAGTATACCAACACACCCTCCACAGACTCTTCTGTAGGGGTCAGAAAGTCCCAGGTGAGCAGGACACTGTCGGGGGCAGTGATAGCAGCGACGGTGAGGGTGATGATTGGGCGTGACAGGCGACGGCTGACCTGGCGGACCTGGTCCAAAGTTAGACTCGGGTCACGAGGTGGACGGGTGGTGACAGCGTCTGACCAGGGACTTGGAAACGACTCTCCTTTGCTACTGACGGCTCGGACAAGGAAAGTATAAGTGTGTCCTGGAGAAAGGTGACTAACAACACATGACTCCTGCAATATGAGGGCGTCAGCCACACGCCATTCATCCCAGCCCTGCCTCCAGTACTCCACCGTGTACCACTGATCCGACGCTGCACTCACTTGAGAGTTAGGAAGCCAACTTAGCTGAACTGCTGTCTGATTCATGGCCATGAGGCGAGGCTTAGTGGGAGGAGCTGGCAACAACAATGGTTCAATAGCATTGGCATTTTGGTCTACTCGCAGTATAGCTGCTTGTTCCACCGTGCCAGTATCTGCCGTGGCACGGCAAGTGTAAATTCCTGCGTCGTCTAGGTTCACGTGCTTGATGATGAGGGCCCCATTGTCTGGGAGAGAGATCCGAGGATCAGCAGAGTCTTGAGAGAGTTGACGGGATGGCAGGTGGACGGCTGGTCTGTACCACCATGACACGGTGGCCTCAGCTGCTTCGCTCACTACCTCACAGGGGAAGGATGCCACTGTACCAGGCACAACAGTTAGGTCTTGGGGTCCCACGCCTATTACAGGTGGTGGGTGAGATGGTACCACCACCAGTTCTGCTTGTCCACTGACACCTCCACCACTGCTCACACCCCAGCAGTGGTAAGAGCCACTGTCCTGGGTATTTGCTTGTTCAATCGTTAGGGTGTGCCCGTCATCAGACACTGAGGCCTGACCCCTGCTCAGTCCTGACGTTAAGAGTGCCGTTCTATCAAGCGTTGGAAGGCGCCAGAGCACCAGTGGCTGTGGCCCGCCCTCTACGCGGCACGAGAACTGAGCTCTCTCACCAGCCATTACCTGAAGATCTTGTGGTCGTTGCGTCAACTCAGGAGCGTCCACTATAGTGAGTGTTGCTTGGGCAGAAGCAATTCCTGCCTCATTCTCCACCTCGCATGCGTACACACCGGAGTCTACAGTCTCCACCTGTTCTAACACCAACCGTTGGTCCTCTATCCTGGCTCGACCCAGCGGCATCTTGCCATCTAGCCGACGCCACGTTACTGTGGGAGTGGGTGATGCTTGTGCTCGACACGCTAGCTCAACCGTGACTCTCGACGGCGCTGTCACATTTGTTGGCTTCTCTTCAAACCAAGGAGGGGCTGAAAATAGACATAACCTCGTTTTTCCATCAATTATATATTTATATATAAGGTATTCCTAATGTGCACTTAGAAAACAGCTGACAATCGGTGTTCTCTGTGGTGACGTTTTAATTTGAATACAAAGTTCATGTTATATATCAAGGATATATCACATATCCCTGATATATAACACCTTTTTTTAGTAAAAAAAAGTATAAAAAGGTGAGTATATATCCCTGATATATCCTCACCTTTTTTTAGTAAAACACCAATATCATGGTCACTGCTGAAGCTGTCTTACCACTGAGATATTCTTATGCAGTTGTTGGTACTACAAATAATGATTTGGCACCATTAAGTAGCTTTACAAACGGGTTCATAGTGCATAGATCTAAGCTAGAAAGACACTAAAACATGCAAATTATTTCACATTATATGACCTTGATAATAGCCTTTGGGCCAATTTGGAGGATATAAACACTTACTCATAATAATAAGTTGAGTTGGAGAAGACTCCCTGGTCCCAGCAGCATTACGGGCTCGACACACGTAGGCTGCAGAGTCTTCCTGGACGGCCTGGCTGATGACCAGGTCTCCAGCCTCAGTGACGCTGACACGACTGGAGTTGGTCACCTGCCGGCCGTCCCTCAGCCAGGTCAGCTCAGGCGGAGGAGTGGCTTTGGGGGGTCGACATGGAAGGCTGACAGAGTCACCTACCCTGGCCTTCACCGTGGGCTCTGCCTGGCTCTGGAAGTCATACGCAAGGGTGGCCACGGTCAGTGTGGCATTGTGGGAGCGTGTAGTGCCGTAGCTATTGGACGCCACGCACCAGTAGGTGCCTGTGTCACTGTCCTTCCTGGTGGCAGTGACACGGAGGAAGAAGAGGGAACCAGAGGGCAGGAGGACACGGTGGGAGCGAGGGTCTTGTGTGGAGGTGACCACCTCTTCTCCGTCACGGAACCACCTGACGCGGGCGGCACCAGAGGCGGCACAGTTGAGGGTGGCGGGGTCGTTGCGGCGTGCCACCATATTGCTGGGGTGCTCCTTGATCACCGGTGGTCCTTCTGTATAAAGAAAAAGATCATATATGTGAGGCCTGCCCAACATCAATCACTTACAAATACGATATGATATCTGTAAGCACTTGCTTAATGAATCAGTTAAGATCTCTGTTTTTATCTCAACTGAAGTGAGAAATGACTGCATCTATAACTGTCATGCCGAGGTCAAAATTGTGGGTCTTGCCATTGAATACCATACTCCAGGACCCATTAGGTTCTCAGAGAAGTACCTAAATTACAAGATTAAGGTAACGTTTCTGGTTTCCAGACACCGGAAATGCAAACTTAAGAGGATTGGAACCGGAGTGCAAAAATCTACTACAACAATATAGGATGAAAGGAAGACAGATTCTTCAATCAGAAAAGAAGAAAGACCTGGGAGTGGACATAACCCCAAATTTGATGCCAGATCAACATCCGTGTATATTTCAGAAACTTGGACAAAGGGGGTTTCCGGGCCCTATATACAGCGAAGGTGAGATGCACTCTTGAATATGAATCCCCAACATGGAACCCTTACCTGAAAAAGGACCAGGAGAAACTAGAAAAGGTCCAGAAATATGCAACAAGACTTATTCCTAAGCTAAAGGTATTAAGCTATGAGGGAAGACTGAGAGAGCTGGAACTTACTACATTGGAGAAACAGAGAGATAAGGGGGAACATGATATCAATACATAAGATTCTAAGGGAAACTGACAAAGTAGACAAAGCAGCGTCCTTCAGAGCCAGGACCAGCAGAACTAGGAGTCATTGAGGGACACTCGAGACACAAATGAATCAGAGACATCAGGAAGAACTTTTATCAGTGTTAGAGCTATCAGTAAGTGGAACAAGTTAGACGTAGAAGTCGTTGAAGATAATTTGATTCCAAAATGTTAATTTAAATATGATAAAAGCGTGAGTGATGAGTCGTTACATTCCTCTAAGAACTTTTGGAAGGCGGGACTATGGGCCTAGTTCGACCCTGCAAACACATCTTGGCGAGTATACAATACCTAAAGCCCCAGCCGATATCAATTGTATAACATCTCACGTCACTTCATAGTACATACACACACACACACACACACACACACACACACACACATACACACACACGTGTGTCGTGTGTGTGGGAGAGGGGGGGATTATTATAGACACATAAAATACTCAGGCAGATTGACTGGAAATAGACGAAATGGTCACACTGAATAATAACAAAACGAGGGGACATGGGTGGAAGCTGGAAATTCAGATGAGTCACAGATATATTATGAAGTTTTCTTTTAGCAAGAGAGTAGTGGAAAAATGGAATGAACTTAAGGAGCCGGTTGTGGAAGCAAACTCTATTCATAACTTTAAAACTAGATATGATATGAAGATAAGAGAGGAATAAACAACCGGTGACTAGAAAGGCGGGATCTAAGAGTCAATGTTCAATCCTGTAGGCACACATAGGTGAGTACTCGCACACACACCAGACCTGTCCCCTGAAGCCCACATCAAAAGGATCAGAAACGTGTGTAAGGAATCATTCAGAACCTTGAACACCTCATATGTCAGACCAATACTGGAATATGAGGCTCCAGCCTGGAGTCCACATCTAGCCAAACACAAAACGAAGTTAGAAAAGGTTTAAAAGTATGCCACCAGGCTAGTCCCCGAGCTGAGAGGTATGAGCTACGAGGAAAGATTACTGGAACTAAACCTCACGACATTGAAAGACAGAAGAGTTAGTGGAAACATGATCACTACCTATAAAATTCTATATAAAACCTGTTTAGCATGGGTGGTACGTGAACAAGGGAGCACAGGTGGAAACTTAGTACCCAAGTGAGCCACAGGGACGTTAAAAAGAACTTTTTCAGTGTCAGAGTAGTTAACATATGGAATGCATTAAGCAGTGATTTGGTGGAGGCTGACTCCATACACACTCTCTAATGTAGATATGATAGAACTCAGTAGACTCCAGAATCTATACACCAGTTGATTGACAGTTGAGAGGCGGGACCAAAGAGCCAAAGCTCAACCCCCACAAGGACAACTAGGTGAATGAGTACACACACTTGTATGCATGTCTCTCTCCTCCTCCCCCCTCTCCCTTGCCTCTAAGTCTTCCCTCTCTCATCTCTGTTTCCTTATTCCCCTATCCTTTTCTCTCCAACGAATATATTTATCTCTGTCAATATCTCTGATTATCATTCTCTATCTCAATCTATCAACCCCTTGACCCTCCTTGTCCACATTCCTTTGGTCCCTCTCCTCTTTCTCTCCCTTTAATCCCTTCCCTTGCTTCTCTCTCCTGCTTAATATTGAGAAGTATTGAAACACCTTTTTTTATTATTAATACATGAAGTACATCTGCATTTGTGCAGCTACCCTAGACTATATGAAGTGGAGTACAGTGTGTCAAAAAGCTGGCTACGTGATGCTAAATATCCCCATCACACAGGATGGTTAGTCATACAGAGGCATGTGATAAGTAGTCTGCACTGGCAGATTCTGGGTGCATTATGAGGATATCATCAACACAAGATTGATTAAGATAGCAGTGATACTAAACGTCCCCATCTCGCAGGATGGTTAGTCATACAGGGCCATATGTTTAGTGGCCTGCACTGGCAAATTTTGGGTGCAATATGAGGATATCTTCAAGAACACGAGTGAATAAAATAATTGCAAAGCTCTAGGTACCTCATACCTCTCACATATATAAATCCAAGGGAAACGCATCATATATTTCAAACTTAACCCCTTGAAAATCGCCTGAAGGGGTCTACTATTGTCAATATATCTTAAAGCATTTAACGGATCATAAAACATTTATCTCGACCACCGTATGTCCCTCCCCTACCCCAGACCGTTCACCCTGCAAATAAGAGAGAAAATGTTGTTTTAAATATGATATGGATGAGGTGTGTCGTCACTGTGACGTCACCACACTTAACTGAAGTCATACTAGGTGTGACGTCACTACACCTAACTGACGTCATACTAGGTGTGACGTCACTACACCTAACTGACGTCATACTAGGTGTGACGTCACTACACATAGTGTCATAATGTTAATGCTGTCACAGGTTACATTTAACATCTAACTGTTAAGAAGGCATGACAGCTGAGTGGACAGCGAGCGCTTCGGATTCGTAGTACTGAGAATCAGGGTTCGATCCCCGGTGGAGGCGGAAACAAATAGCCAGAGTTTTTTTTCACCCTAATGCCCCTGTTACCTAGCAGTAAATAGCTACCTGGGAGTTAGACAGCTGCTACGGGCTGCTTCCTGGGGGTGTGTAACAAAATAGGAGGCCTGGTCGAGGACCGGGCCGCGGGGACGCTAAGCCCCGAAATCATCTAGAAATAACCTAAAGATAACCAAGGCTAAATATTAAATGTGATAAAAAATGTTTCATCAATCACTACAGTTTATATGTAGGATCTGACCTCTGCTTGGATCTGACCTCTGCTTGGATCTGACCTCTGCTTGGATCTAATCTCTGCCTGAGTCTGACCTCTGCCTGAATCTGACCTCTGCTTGAATCTGACCTCTGCTTGAATCTGACCTCTGCTTGAATCTGACCTCTGCCTGAGTCTGACCTCTGCCTGAGTCTGACCTCTGCTTGAATCAGACCTCTGCTTGGATCTGACCTCTGCTTGGATCTGACCTCTGCTTGGATCTAATCTCTGCCTGGATCTGACCTCTGCTTGGATCTGACCTCTGCTTGGATCTGACCTCTGCTTGGATTTGACCTCTGCCTGAATCTGACCTCTGCTTGGATCTGAGCTCTGCTTGGATCTGACCTCTGCTTGGATCTGACCTCTGCTTGGATCTGATCTCTGCCTGAATCTGACCTCTGCCTGAATCTGACCTCTGCCTGAATCTGACCTCTGCCTGAATCTGACCTCTGCCTGAATCTGACCTCTGCCTGAATCTGACCTCTGCCTGAATCTGACCTCTGCCTGAACCTGACCTCTGCCTGAATCTGACCTCTGCCTGAATCTGACCTCTGCCTGAATCTGACCTCTGCCTGAACCTGACCTCTGTCTGAATCTGACCTCTGCCTGAACCTGACCTCTGCCTGAACCTGACCTCTGCCTGAAGCTGACCTCTGCCTGAAGCTGACCTCTGCATGAAACAATGAGTGAGTGAAATAAACACCATTGCTTTTGTCCAGATAGTTAGACGGGTTTGTTCTCGACAAATAATAAGAGAATTCCAGGCTCGAATCCCGGGTTAGGCGCGTTTCCTATCGCTTATTAACGCCGTTCACCTAACAGTAAATAGGTATCCAGGTGTTAGTCTGCTTGTTGGGGGGGGGGTCGCATCCTGGGAGGGGGGGGGGTGTATTCAAGAGGCACTTAGACAAGTTCTTGTAAGAAGTGCCGGGCCAACCGGGCTGTAGTGGATATGAGGGCCTGCGGGCCGCTCCAAGCAACAGCCTGTTGGACCAAGTTATCATAAGTCATGCCTGGCTTCAGGCTGGGTCTCGGGGTGTAGAAGGACTCCCGAGACTCTCTCCAGGTATGCTCCAGGTCAGTAGTTTTACCCTGGGGTTGGGGGGACCACGATATAAGGCTAACGTGTATATATTCACTGGCTGACTGTCCCCCCGACAAAATAAAGTTAATATTTGAATTATATAGGTCCCTGTAGTAACATGCCAGACACCCGGGTTGTAATGGATATTGGGGATCTGCGGGCCGCTCCAAGCAACAGCCCTCTCGATCAAGTTATCACATGACATGTCTGGCAACCAGACCGGGCTTGGGGAGCAGAAGAACTCTTGGAAATGGCCACGGGTAAACTCCAGGTAATTGTTTTGTACCACGAAGCAATTCAATACCCTCAAAATAATACCCTATGATGTGGCTTTTGTTAATTTCAGAAATTATGTTATCTTGAGATGATTTCGGGGCTTTAGTGTCCCCGCGGCCCGGTCCTCGACCAGGCCTCCACCCCTAGGAAGCAGCCTGTGACAGCTGACTAACTCCCAGGTACATATTTACTGCTAGGTAACAAGGGCATAGGGTGAAAGAAACTCTGCCCATCGTTTCTCACCGGCGCCCCGGGATCTATCCCAGGACCACATGATCACGCGCCCAGTGTTCTGTCCGCTCAGCCACCGGCTCCCTATGTTCAGGAACCCGTGTGGCCGCCGCCGGCTGGACGAAGTGACAGACATTAACCTTAACATTGTGCTCATTGTGCTCATTCAAACAATTTAAACATCTTATTATTGAACTCATTCAAACAATTTAAACATCTTATTATTGAACTCATTCAAACAATTTAAACATCTTATTATTGAACTCATTCAAACAATTTAAACATCTTATTATTGAACTCATTCAAACAATTTAAACATCTTATTATTAAACATCGAAATCTTAAGCTCATTCTACTCACGCAAATTTGAAATAAGCACATTAGGTAAGGTAAGATAAGATTGGTTGGGTTGGGTGGAATAAGTAAGGTAAAAGCTTAGGTTGGGTTCTGAAAGGTTAGGTTGTGTTAGATAATGTAACGTTAGGTTTAGTTGGGTCTTGTCGGTTAGGCTTGAGTAGGTCAGGTAAGGCAAGGCTGGATAGATTAAGGTTAGATAGATAAGGTTGGATAGATTAAGTAACGTTAGGATAGGTTAGGTAAGGAAAGTTTAGACTGGGTTCGGTGGATTAACTAATGTTTGTTAGCCTAAGGTTAGATAAGTTAGGATTTTGGTGAACCTCTTGTGTACAATATGACTTGTATCTGAAATTATACATGTAGTCGCCTTATTAAATTTCAGACACGAAGCCCAGTCACACTTCACCACCCAAACTACAGTGTAACTCACCATAGCGCCGCCTCTGGCTCTTGTTCTGCTGATGTTCTTTAACCAAATGTACAAATGAGGTAAGATAATTATCAGGAGAAAGCGCTAAGCAAGTATGACTATAGTACTCGGAAGGGATATGAGATAGACTAAGACCTGAGATAGTGTAAAGGAATGGTGCTTAACACTTGGATTATTGGGGATCGAACGTCGACACTGCAAGAAGCAAGACCGTCGTTGTACCAAGCAATCAAGAATGTTTGCAGGTTAGATCAATGCTATTCTGAATCGAAACACATGTTAAGTTATCACGTATCCGAATAATGCCGAGTGTATGGAGAACGACATAATGCAGTTAGTTCTTCATCGACCTGTATTTATATAATACATTTTCCATGGACATGTATCCACATAATGCAGTTCTCCATATACCTGATTGAAGAAGATTAAGCTACCCAATAGGTGGCATGGGCATGAATAACCCGTAATCCATATACCAGTATCTACATAATGCAGTTCTCCATGGACCTCTATATATATATAATGCATTTATCTATTTATATAAACGTATACATGTGTCCAACTATCTCCTCTTGGGCCTATTTGCAAATTCCACTAGATCATAGCTTCAACAGTTTAGTACATTTACATTTATATCGTCCTACGTTCTAATACATTACGTGTGAATTAATTTATTTTAAAAGTTGTATATCATCACACGTTATAATTCAGGAACATAAAACATGTGTGACAATCAGAATATTTGTAAACATAACACATGGACACGTTGGGTACAGGTGCGGCCTGGCTGTGTCATTTCTTTTTACCTGAATTTACCTGAGGGCATTGATCTCACAAGTCGCCTTGATGAGGACAGGAAGCCGCCAGGTTGTCAAAGATCCCCCCCTTCCATTTGTCCTGATCATTTTATCGAGCTGCATTTCAAAATTCAGTAGTGATTTAAGGCATTTAAATTTTAACCCATGAACTTTTAACCCTTGAACGCAAAATTAACCTAATGTTTTAACCTAATAGTGCTTCTAAAGCACTTCTCAAAGTACCTTATAATATTTCCCTATGTATTGCTTACAAGATTCTACACATTAATGTTGTGAATTTTCAATTTAAAATATTCATTATAACCTAAAATAAAAAAGATTCTTTAATGGATTTATCTTTAGTGTCTATTGAGAACTGGATATGTAATATTGCAAATACAGGTAGCAACATGAAGCTCATCCACACACATTTCTTTGATAACCTTCAATAAAAAATTGTAATGAAATTTAACTTGATCTATTTGAAAACTGGTTGCTTTAATCCAATTTTTGTAATGAGTATGCAACATTGCAAATACAGGAAACATTGTGAAGTTCACACACACACAAATGCAACACGTGTCTCACCTTCGTGGGCAGTAACCAGCACTAGAAGACACACCACTATGGCTACAGCCATTGTTATGTATCCACTAAATCCTGGACACATTTAACATCACTTCTCAAAGTACTTCCACAAAAGACACGTTCGATCATAATGAAACGACAATGAGAGACATCCACACAGTACCACTATTCACTTGGTGTCTGATACACTCAGCGAGGCATCACTCCCGTGGATACTTTCGTCAGAGCGTGAAATGAACGACAGATAAGAGAACACTAGGGAGCTACATCCATCCTCGACCGAGTTGCGTCTCGCACTGAGTGTGGTGGAGAGAGGCAGTTGGTGTGGGTGGTGGTGGTGGTGGTGGTGGGCGGAGAGATCGCTGATGGGCGGGGCAACCCCCACAAACCCGTCAAGCAAACTGCGGTCAGCGCAGCACGCGCTCAAACCCAACCTCACCTACCGGTAACTTTTTTTATATTATTTTTACCCCGAAGGCAAAAGCTTTTTTTTTGTTTATTGGGCAGCGAAACTTAATCAGTGTGTGAACATAGCGCTATACCGGCATGTTCAACACCCTCCTATACGAAGAACACCTGCTGGGTTGTTCATGCTGTAACTTGTACCCAGACGCAGCTGTGACTTATAACTGTCTCAAGTGAGTTCATGAAGCAAGGGATTAACTCAACTCGCAGTTAACCAGCGATCGGTTATAGTAATGATGTTGAGAAGCACATTTTCTCTCTCTCTCTCTCTCTCTCCCAACCATTGCTTTGAATTAATTTGCATGCCGGCTTGATCCACAGTGGCTTATACATTAAAACCAGAGATAAAAGCACATATTTGGCGAGCAATCAGCCCCGTGCCGGAGCAGGTGATCATCACACACGTAAACAACAAATAAAATTCGATCATTTTTCCGAAATGAAATTGCCTAGCAATCTGACGAGAGCCAAAGGCGCTCTACCGACATAGACAAATTGCCTGTCAATAATGTCAATGATTTATTTGACTTTTATTAATAAAACTGATGACGGGGTATCCGATACCGGCCTAGATAGTGCAACGCTAATTGGATATCGGATAACATGTTATCCTACAATTGAACTTGATGATATCCCGTAATGTAAGGACATAAAAGGGTACTTCGGATAGCCTTTTTGTCCCATACGAGGCAGCTTTAATTTATATCCGTCAAAAGTCATTCATTCATGTGTCTAACCTACCCTGGAAACAATCCAGCGATTACAAGTCAATTATATAACTTCATTTAGGTCACATCGACGTCCGTCTTTACAACTCAAAATGTCTAATGTGTTTTTGGCCTAAAATATATATATATATATATATATATATATATATATATATATATATATATATATATATATATATATATATATTGTGACGGTAAAGCGTTGGTGTTCGGCTGTTTCAAAAGCTAGGGGCAGGGCCTCGTCACATAATCAAAAAAAAAAAAGAGAAAAGTTGGAGCTTTCGTCTGTGGTAAGGTATTGGGAAGACACACAAAACACAAGTATATAAACAATGAAATTTGAATTACTCTAGAAAAACAAGACATGAATAAAGGTGATCACATAAAAATATGCAAGATAAGTCAACAAACAAAATAATATGAATAATCACTGGCAAATGAAAAGTTACGTTAAGACAAGTAAGTTACAGTGATAGCAAAATAAAATATAAGTGGTGCTGGAATACTGGCTTCGAGCTGCCACCTCCCTTAGTACACGAAAGCCAAGGCTTAGTCTACCAGCGAGAGATGTCAACTGCTTGGAGCACTGAGATATTCTGACGATACTGCCGCACTGCAGCCCAGACGTCGACTTGTGGTGGAGGCGGAGGGCAGGGGCGACGAGTCACCAGCCAATCAGCGACAGGCAGGCAGAGGATGAGCTGGTGGTTAGCTGGTTACGGCGGTGGTAGCAGGTGTCACGGTGTGCTGGGTACGATTTGCTCTCTGGGCAAAACGTTTGGCGATACTTGGTGGACGTATCTTCTATATTGTCTTGTATATTGACGTACTTATGTAGGGAAGAGCAGGCTCAATCTCTCTTGAAAGAGATTATCGTCACAATATATATATATATATTATTCAACTATCTACACCTATACATAAACACATATGTATATGTGGATTATATTTGACAGTTGAGAGGCGGGACCAAAGAGCCAAAGCTCAACCCCCCGCAAGCACAGATAAGTGAGTACAGACAAGCGGGTCGTCACTGGCAAGGTGGCAGGTGTACTTGGCAAATTTTGAGCTGCCATACCAAACCTGATAGTCATCAGCCCCTCGATATCGTTAAAGAAATAACTCTAAACGAAGGATTCGTCGCGTTAACCACTTTCACATTTTGAATTTCTGCGCCATTAAAAAATTATTAATATTCGAGGTTAATGATATTTAATATTAGATAATTAGCTTCGAAGATTGGGTAAAGGAAAACACCCCAGTTAACTCTACGCTGATTGCGAACTCTGGCGTCTAACAGCCTGGTTAAACAGACTTTGTAACTGGTCCTCAGACGTTAACTGGTATTATGCGTTAAAACACCAACATGACGTGAAAGTGTCCGCTTCCGTCCGTCTTGGATCCTCACCAAGTCGTCCTGGACCCCTCATCTAGTCGTCCTGGACCCTCATCAAGTCATCCTGGACCCTCAACAAGTCGTCCTGGACCCCTCACCAAGTCATCCTGGACCCTCATCTAGTCGTCCTGGACCCTCACCAAGTCATCCTGGACCCTCATCTATTCGTCCTGGACCCTCATCAAGTCGTCCTGGACCCTCACCAAGTCGTCCTGGACCCTCATCAAGTCATCCTGGACCCTCATCAAGTCGTCCTGGACCCTCATCAAGTCATCCTGGACCCTCATCAAGTCATCCTGGACCCTCATCAAGTCGTCCTGGACCCTCAACAAGTCATCCTGGACCCTCATCAAGTCGTCCTGGACCCTCATCAAGTCATCCTGGACCCTCATCAAGTCATCCTGGACCCCTCATCTAGTCGTCCTGGACCCTCATCAAGTCATCCTGGACCCTCATCAAGTCGTCCTGGACCCCTCATCTAGTCGTCCTGGACCCTCATCAAGTCATCCTGGACCCTCACCAAGTCGTCCTGGACCCCTCATCTAGTCGTCCTGGACCCCTCATCTAGTCGTCCTGGACCCTCATCTAGTCGTCCTGGACCCTCATCAAGTCATCCTGGACCCTCACCAAGTCGTCCTGGACCCCTCATCTAGTCGTCCTGGACCCCTCATCTAGTCGTCCTGGACCCTCATCTAGTCGTCCTGGACCCTCATCAAGTCATCCTGGACCCTCATCAAGTCATCTTGGACCCTTCATCTAGTCGTCCTGGACCCCTCATCAAGTCGTCCTGGACCCTCATCAAGTCATCCTGGACCCTCATCAAGTCATCCTGGACCCCTCATCTAGTCGTCCTGGACCCTCATCAAGTCATCCTGGACCCCTCATCTAGTCGTCCTGGACCCCTCATCAAGTCGTCCTGGACCCTCATCAAGTCATCCTGGACCCCTCATCTAGTCGTCCTGGACCCCTCATCAAGTCGTCCTGGACCCTCATCAAGTCATCTTGGACCCTCATCAAGTCATCCTGGACCCTCATCAAGTCATCCTGGACCCCTCATCTAGTCGTCCTGGACCCTCATCAAGTCATCTTGGACCCCTCATGTAGTCGTCCTGGACCCCTCATCAAGTCGTCCTAGACCCTCATCAAGTCATCTTGGACCCCTCATCTAGTCGTCCTGGACCCCTCATCAAGTCGTCCTGGACCCTCATCAAGTCATCCTGGACCCTCATCAAGTCATCCTGGACCCTCATCAAGTCATCCTGGACCCCTCATCTAGTCGTCCTGGACCCTCATCAAGTCATCTTGGACCCCTCACTAAGTCGTCCTGGACCCCTTATCAAGCCGTTATCAAGTCACGACACGATAAGAGTCCGGGACGGAAAGGAACTGCATCACTCCCATGCAGGCTTTCATGTGGTATGTGTGGCCGGGTTGGGAGACGTGTTTCAGCCACCTTGTTGTGACTTGTTCTCTACATATCAGACTTTATCTGTACATAACCTTGTCAAACACAGTGACCCCCGACTTTCCTGGCGTTACCTCTGCTTGAACGACGTGACTACAGAGTTATTTAATTATCATTAATTGGTATCTAAGAGCTTTGCCCCGAGCACGTCTGCCTTGACCGAAGCTTCAGAGATCCACACAAAACTCGCTTGCACTTATACTCTTTTTTCCCCACCTTTAAAAATATCAAATTAGATTTTCTCATTTATTCTTAAATTAATTAATCTCTCTCTCTCTCTCTCTCTCTCTCTCTCTCTCTCTCTCTCTCTCTCTCTCTCTCTCTCTCTCTCTCTCTCTCTCTCTCTCTCTCTCTCTCTCTCTCTCTCTCTCTCTCTCTCTCTCTCTGTTTCTCTCATCTGAAGGATAAAGTAAGATGACGGGGTGGCATGAGGTGACAGAGTAACATGACATGTGACTAGAGATGGCAGAGTGACATGAAATGACAGGGTTATCAGGGGGGGGGGCGAGGGAGGTAATTGGTGACCTTTGGCACGAGGACGACGACTAAAAACAATGACAGCTAATTAGTCTGTTATTTTGGTCATTTATATAAATCGATCTTCCAACCCATCAAAAAAATGTATATACGAGATATTAATTATAAGTTGTGTTGCTAATCGCGTCAACAAATTCTAGAGCGGACCGGTAATTGCAGCAGTAATTACGGTGGTCACATCAGTTTTGTCCGGCTAACCTAAACTCTTCTGGTCCGGACACGAGAGGAGAAGTACCTGTAGACTAATTAGTGGCGGTGGCGGCGTGGTGGTACACACTCACCACAGTCCTTGTGTATGGTACACACACCAGAGTGGTGATACACCCCTTTGGTTATGACGGGGATAATCTGTGTATAATGTGTGAGAGTGTTTCCCAGCGGGGATCATTATCAACGTTATCTTGAGATGATTTCGGGGCTTTCAGTGTCCCCGCGGCCCGGTCCTCGACCAGGCCTCCACCCCCAGGAAGCAGCCCGTGACAGCTGACTAACACCCAGGTACCTATTTTACTGCTAGGTAACAGGGGCATTGGGTGAAAGAAACTCTGCCCATTGTTTCTTGCCGGCGCCTGGGATCGAACCCAGGACCACAGGATCACAAGTCCAGCGTGGTGTCCACTCGGCCGACCGGCTACCTTGACGTTATCAACATTATTAACGTAGAATTAACGTTATCAACGTAGCATCAACATAGTGTCAACATATGATC